GCCAGGGTCCAGTCTCTACACCCTCACCACTGTGTCACGCTCCACCCCTTTGTCTCCCCAGTTGCACGCGTCTGCTTAGGTAGCTACACAGTGTGAGTGTCGCCGGCTGTCGCACGACACTCTTCTGTGGCACCACCGCCTTGGTCACCCCTCCCTGCCTCGCCTACGCAGCATGCACTCCCGCGTCCTGGTTTCTGGTCTCCCCAGGTCTCTGCCTCCCCTCCCTCCCTCGCCTGCGCCGCCCTGCATTCCCTGCGTCGAGGGGCGGCAGCGCGCCGCTCCTCACTCCTCCTCGTTCCCTCCCACAGAGGCTCCACTGCAGACTCTCCACCTGGACGTGTGGGGCCCAGCCCGCGTCTGTGGACAGGGCCATGAGCGGTACTTCCTGCTGGTTGTCGACGACTACACGCGCTACACCACGGTCTTCCCCTTGCAGCGCAAGGGGGATGTCCCTGATGTTTTGATCCCCTGGATCCGCGCTACTCGTCTCCAGCTCCGCGAGCGGTTCCAGTCGGACTTTCCTGTCCTGCGTCTGCACTCTGACAGAGGTGGTGAGTTTCTCCTCTGACCTCTTGGCAGCCTTCTGTGCGGAGCACGGCATCCGCCAGACTTTCACGCTTCCGGCCTCTCCGCAGCAAAATGGGGTTGCTGAGCGCCGCATTGGCTTAGTCATGGAGGTCGCTCGTACCTCCATGATCCATGCGGCTGCCCCCCATTTTCTGTGGCCGTTTGCGGTCCGGTACGCCGAGCATCAGCTCAACCTTTGGCCCCGTGTCTCCTTGCCGGAGACCTCGCCCACACTGCTGTGGACGGGGAAGGTTGGCGACGCGACGCGTTTCCGGGTCTGGGGTGCTCGTGCCTTTGTCCGCGATACCACCGCGGACAAGCTCTCCCCTCGCGCCATTCCTTGCGTCTTCCTTGGCTTTGTCCCTGACGCGCCTGGCTGGCAGTTTTACGACCCCGCCTCGCGCCGTGTCTTTTGCGTCTCAGGACGTCACCTTTGACAAGTCGGTCCCCTTTTACCGCCTCTTCCCCTACCGCACTGCTCCTCGCCCCCCCCCGCCGCTCTTTCTCGCACCAGGTCCTCCCCAGGTAGACCCCCTCCCTGCGCCAGGTCCTGCTCCTTCAGGTGTCTCTCAGGTAGACCCCCCCGCGCCTGCGCCTGTTGAGGTCACTTGTTACTCCGGTCCTGCTGGGAGTGGTGCTGTCCCTGGGGGTGCGGAGCTTGGGGGTGCTGAGTCTGGGGGCGCTGAGCGTGTGGAGCCTGGAGGTGCCTCGTCTCGGGGTACTGCGTCTGGAGGTGCTGCGTCTGAGGGTGCTGAGCCTGTGTGTGCTGAGCCTGGGAGTGCTGCGTCTGGGGGTGAGTTGCCTGAGGGTTCTGAGACTGGTGTTACGCGGTCTCCTTGGAGTAGCCGTCTTCGTCCGCGTGTGCCCCTCACCTCCTAGCAGCTGCACGACTGGTACGGTCGCCGTCGGCTTCCCACTTCTACACCTCAGGGCTCTCCTACTGGTGGTTCTTCTCCTGGTGTCGCTGGTCCCGGAGGTGCTCGTACTGGGAGTACTGGAGCTGCTGGGGCTGGTGGTGGTGCTGCTGGAGGTCCTGGAGGTGCTGGAGGTGCTGGAGCTGCTGGAGGTGCTGGAGCTGCTGGAGGTGCTGGAGCCGCTGGAGGTGCAGGAGCTGCTGGGGGTGCTGGAGCTGCTGGAGGTGCTGGAGCTGCTGGTGGCACTGCTCAGCCGCGCCTGTTCTTTGCTCCGCCGTCTCCGTCGTCTCAGCCACCACCTGACTCTGCACTTCGCCAGGTTCTCAGTCTTCTCTCGTCTACTGGTCTTCCGTTATAGCCTGGCTCACCGCTGCCTGCTCCTTCTCCGTACACAGAGCAGCCTGGTGGCCTTGCAGAGCGTCGTGAGCCTGTGTCGCGGCCTGTCTCCCCTGTCAGTTCCGGTCGTCGTGTTCCTCGTCAGTGCTAGCCGGCTGTCTCCGGCCCTCCCCTTGTAGTTCGTCGTCCTTCCTCTCCTTCCCCGCGTGTTCCTCTGCCGCCTCCCCCTGCGTCCTCTCTGCCTGTCGTTGCTGACCCTGCGTCTGACCGGTTTCGTGCTGAGCACTCTACTATCACGCGTCTGCTTGCCACTGTTGTCACTGACCCGTCGTTTGAGTCTGCTGCTGCGTCTGCCTTAGTCACTGAGCTTGTTGCCTTTGCTGCTCACTGTCGTCTAGACTACGCCGCCAGTCTTGTTGCTGGGTCTACGTCTGTCTGTCCTCCGTCCGTCGGGGGTGAGTGTGCTCTCGGCACGGACGTCCTTGAGGACAGGCAGGAGGACCTTGAGTGTCTTGCAGCTGCTGCACCTCATCTCGTATCCATGCTGCTTGCCCTTGAGGGAGACCTGGATGCACCAGACATCCCTACCCCGCGCTCTTACGCTGAGGCGATCGCGGGTGAGTACTCCTCTCAGTGGCAAACAGCCATGGACGCAGAGATGGCATCCTGGAAGTCCACAGGCACCTACGTCGACGAGGTTCCCCCTCCTGGGGCGAACATTATCAGTGGCATGTGGATTTTCAGGGTGAAGCGGCCGCCAGGTTCTCCGCCTGTCTTCAAGGCTCGTTACGTGGCTCGAGGCTTCAGTCAGCGAGAGGGAGTTGACTTCTTCCAGACCTTCTCCCCCACCCCGAAGATGACCACTCTTCGGGTGCTGCTGCACGTTGCCGCTCAGCGTGACTACGAGCTTCACTCTCTTGACTTCAGCACAGCCTTCTTACAGGGCAGCCTGCACGAGGAGATTTGGCTGCGCCGCCCACCTGGCTTCACTGGGTCGTTCCCTCCTGGTACCCAGTGGAGCCTCCGGCGGCCGGTCTACGGTCTCCGCCAGGCGCCACGTGAGTGGCACGACACACTGAGGACGACACTTGCGGCTCTTGGGTTTGCTCCGTCGACTGCTGACCCGTCGCTGTTTTTGCGCACCGACACTTCGCTGCCGCCGTTCTACGTTCTCGTGTACGTCGACGACTTGGTCTTTGCCACTGCTGACATTGAGGCTCTCGCCCTGGTGAAGTCGGAGCTGCAGAAGAGACACACATGCACAGACCTGGGTGAACTGCGCAGCTACCTTGGCTTGCAGATCACCCGGGACAGAGCACGCCGCACCATCACACTGACTCAGTCACACATGGTGCAGCAGGTCCTTCAGCGCTTCGGTTTCACCTGGTCCTCAGCACAGGCCACTCCTCTGGCTACAGGTCACTCGCTCTCAGCTCCACCTTCGGACGAGTCCGTAGAGCCGAGTGGTCCTTACCCAGAGTTAGTGGGCTGCCTCATGTACCTGATGACTTGCACTCGTCCTGACCTTGCGTACCCTCTTGGCCTTCTGGCTCGCTACGTGGCTCCTGGTCGGCACCGAAAGGTGCACATGGATGCTGCGAAGAGGGTACTACGCTACTTGTGCAGTACATCGGGCATGGGGCTCGTGCTTGGAGGACGGGGTGACGTTGTCCTCACTGGTCACTCGGACGCTTCTTGGTTTGACGACCAGGCTACGCAGCGGTCGTCACAGGGTTACACCTTCAGCCTTGGCTCTGGTTCAGTTTCTTGGCGTTCTACACGCTCGTCTTCAGTTCTCGGCTCCAGTTGTGAGGCTGAGATCTACGCCACAGCCATGGCTGCACAGGAGCTTCGCTGGCTCACCTACCTGCTGACTGACTTGGGAGAGCGGCCTCGTTCTCCTCCAGTGCTGTACGTCGACAACAAGGCCGCCATTGCCTTGTGTCAGGAGCACAGACTGGAGCACAGAACGAAGCACATCGCTCTCCGTTACTTTCTTGGTCGAGAGCTGCAGCAGCGTGGCCAGCTTCGTCTTACCTACGTGGCCACTCGGGCCAACACTGCTGATATATTCACCAAGGCACTTCCGCCTGGTGATCATCAGCGTTTCTGCACTTTGTTAGGCCTTGTGCCCACTCTTCCTCACTTGCTGTAGGCTTTGTTTGTACCATGATTTATATGTATTTCTGCATGCTTGTTCTTGTAAGTAGATTTCACTGTACTGTTGTTGTTACATATATATCTCTGCATGTGAACTGGCCTTGTGGCCTTTTTGCTTGTGCTCAGACTGCGTGGTGACGTTGTGATCCACCCTGAGCTTGCTTTGCACTTCCTGCCTGGTCTTGTGACCCTCTGTTCTCCCCCACTCTGCCTATGGGGGTGTGTCAAACATATGTATATCTATGTTTTATTTTGGGTAGGCTTAGTGGGGTACACACTGTGGGGTACAACCCCTTAGGTTCATTTTCCTTGTACCAACCTTCTCGATAGTCGACATCACTCATGCCTAGTTTCTAAGACTTTACTCTCCTCCCCCCCCCCCTCCACCTCAGAGGGACGGGGGCTGGTTGGTCTCACACCCGCCACCCCAATGCCACTCCCCTGGCTCCCCCACACCCTCACACCCTCCCCCCAGCGGCAGCTGCAGCAGTGGGAACGAAAGGAGGAGGAGGGGACGCGCGGGCCCCGCGGCCCCCTCAGGTCGCCTCGACAGGCGACGGGAAAAGAGAGGGGGGGGGGGGGGGGGGGGGGGTCCGCGGGCCCCCTGTGTGCCGCGACAGGCGACGAACCCGCCGCGCGCCACGGGGAGCACGACGGGCAGGCAGGCAGGCAGAAAACCGCCGTGCGCCCCGAGCACACGGCGGGCAGAAAATCGCCGCGCGCCCGAGGCGCGCGACAGGACGACAGACAGCGGAAGCAGACTGGTGGGCCCGTTAAGGAAGGCAGCAGGAAGGTGCCTGCTCTGATACCATGTTGAATAGAAAGTGTAGGGCCTAGGCTTAGTAGCCTAGGCCAAAGGGAGTCGAGAGAGTTTAGCCAAAGAGGGGATGAGTTCACTATTGAGCGAGGTACAAATAGCAAACAAAGCATGCAAAGAAGGTGCACCACCAACAAGTTTATAATAACTACACTAACTACAGCTACAGGCAGTTACAGATATATTCTAACAGGTGGGTGTACGGGTCACAAGGCGCTGAGGCTCTCCTCTATCTCCTCCACCTCTGGATCCACCTCGATCAACTCCTCGTCCTCCTCCCCCTCATACAATGTTTGGGCCGTGTCAAAAGTCAAGAAGAGACACGTGAGTCACAAGGTGTGTGTAGGAATCACAAGGCACTGAGGCTCTCCTCTATCTCCTCTACCTCTTGATCCACCTCAATCAGCTCCTCATCCTCCTCCCCCTCGTACACAAACGACAGCACCCCATCCTCCTCCCCCTCCACCACACCACCACCACCACCCTCCACTCCCTCCCCCTTATTCCCCTCCCCCTCTGCATCCCCTTCCTCCTCCACCTCGCCCTGGTTCTCTCCCTCGCCAGCCCCCCTCTTTATCTCCTCAAGAGGAGGGGTTTCAAGGGCAGACTCAGCAGAGGAAGTAGAGGAGGGGGAGGGGGAGGAGGAGGAGGAGGCGGCAGGGAACTGGTGGCAGTTAATGAAGTGGATGGGCTGCCGCACCGTGCGGAAGAGGCTGTAGGAGGAAGATGGGAGGCGGGGAGGAGAAGTTTTAGTCGATTAAAAAACACCTCCACAGAGGAACTGGTGGCAGTTAATGAAGTGGATGGGTTGTCTCACCGTGCGGAAGAGGCTGTGGGAGGAAGAAGAGAAGGGGGGAAAACGGAGGGAGGGAGGAAGGAAATGGCGGAAGGTGGAAAAGAGTGTTATTAAGGCGTCTCAGAATTGGACTGGTAGCAGTTGATGAAGTGGATGGGCTGCCGCACTGTGCGGAAGAGGCTGTGGCAGGAAGAATATGGGAGGGGAGGATGGGAAAGTTACTAGAAAAATCACCAGGGTTGTAGCACCGTGCAGCAGTGGGGATGCGGCAGATGGGGGATGGGCGGCATCAATGTGGATTGGGGGGGGGAAGGGCGGAACGCGGATGAGAGCGCATGAGGATGGAGCAAGTGAATGGGGACGCGGGAATAGGGAGCATCAGATAAATAGGAGAGCGCACGGGAGAGTGAGCAGAACATTTTTAGGCGTGTGATGTGAATAGTGTCAGAAATAGAGCTTGAGTGATTGATTAGAATAGAAGGCACTAGGCCTCAAGTACAAACAAGGTTGGGTTGAGCAAAGCTAGGGAAAGGATGGGATGGGAATCAAAGCAAATCTCCAATGGTGAGTTGGCAGATTTGTTGGATTACGAGGGAATCCCAACCGGATAGGGTTGGGATTACAAATCTATACCCAACCCACAAATAACCTACAGCATATAAAATAGAGTACACAAAGTGATGACAGCCAATTTCTAACAAATAGTAGGGATGGTGGAGGAGAGAGTGGGGGAGGAACGAGCAGCACAAAGAGGAAATCACAAGCTCAACCTACAGATTCGACTCAAAAGCCCTGAAGCTCAACTTACACCCAAACGTACAATAAACAAACAAGCCCAACCGCCCAAGAGGAAACATACAGGTGGGAGCAGAGCAGATTGGTGAGCAGTGGAAGCTCGTATTCAAATGGTCACTTCAGCCCTGAAGCTTAGCCTACAGGTACCCCCCTCCCTACCTACAAACTGGACCAACACCCCAGGTCGTACAACACCCCAAGTCGCACAACACCCCAGCACGTACGGGTGTGAGCAGAGCAGGTTGGTGTGCAGAGCGAGTTCATATTCACACGTGGGGCCCTCCTTGATAGTCCCCATGAACGTCTGTGCGCCCTCCTCACACACATGCTGCACCTGAGCGGGGATTGGGGGGGGAAGAAAAGAGGGTCAAGAGTTGATGTAGAGGAGGTTCGTATTCACACGTTGGGCCCTCTTTGATGCTGCCCATGAACATCTGTGCGCCCTCCTCACACACATGCCGCACCTGAGGGATGAGAGCAAGGGGAGGGGACGAAGCGGGGTAAGGAGCAGGTATATGAGTGTGTGCAGAGCGGCAACGGGTTGGTATTCACATGTGGTTCCCTCTTTGATGCTGCCCATGATCGTCTGTGCGCCCTCCTCACACACGTGCCCCACCTGAGCAACGAGAGCAAGGGTAGGAGAATGGGGGTAAGGAGAAGGGGTATGAGCGTGTGCGGAGTGGTAAGATGCCATTCCAGTCCCATGCCATGCAGCCATGGGCAGTAACATACAAGTCATGCCATGCCATGCCATACCATGCCATACCATGCCATACCATACCATGCCATGCCATGCCATACCATGCCATGCCATGCCATACCATGCCATGCCATGCCATACCATGCCATGCCATACCATACCATGCCATGCCATACCATGCCATGCCAGTCCCTCCTTTCCTTCCCTCCTTGGTTCCCTTGTCCATTCACTCACCTCTCAACCAGGCCATTAGAACATGCTCACCGTACCTCGCACCTCTCCACCCATTCACACCCCTCCCCACCCATTGACACACCTCAGTGCGGCGGCCAGCGCCAGTGAGGTCGCAGGCTGTGCCGTTGGTGTATACATGCACGTGGTACCTGGTAGGGGGGGATGGGAGCGGGTGGAAGAGGGAAAGGGGAGGGCGGTGAGCAGTCAAAACACACATCACAGCCAGGGCCAGTGGGAAAAGTTGACTTTTGAGTCGACTCAAAAGTCACATCACAGCCAGGGCCAGTGGGAAAAGTTGACTTTTGAGTCGACTCAAAAGTCACATCACAGCCAGGGCCAGTGGGAAAAGTTGACTTTTGAGTCGACTCAAAAGTCACATCACAGCCAGGGCCAGTGGGAAAAGTTGACTTTTGAGTCGACTCAAAAGTCACATCACAGCCAGGGCCAGTGGGAAAAGTTGACTTTTGAGTCGACTCAAAAGTCACATCACAGCCAGGGCCAGTGGGAAAAGTTGACTTTTGAGTCGACTCAAAAGTCACATCACAGCCAGGGCCAGTGGGAAAGGGGAGGGCGGTGAGCAGTCAAAACACACATCACAGCCAGGGCCAGTGGGAAAGGGGAGGGCGGTGAGCAGTCAAAACACACATCACAGCCAGGGCCAGTGGGAAAGGGGAGGGCGGTGAGCAGTCAAAACACACATCACAGCCAGGGCCAGTGGGAAAGGGGAGGGCGGTGAGCAGTCAAAACACACATCACAGCCAGGGCCAGTGGGAAAGGCGAGGGCGGTGAGCAGTCAAAACACACATCACAGCCAGGGCCAGTGGGAAAGGGGAGGGCGGTGAGCAGTCAAAACACACATCACAGCCAGGGCCAGTGGGAAAGGGGAGGGCGGTGAGCTCGCAGGCGCTGCCATTTGTGTACACATGCACGTGGTACCTCGTGTGGGGGGAATGGGAAGGAGGGGGGAGCGGGGGTTGTGAGGAATGGGGAGGAGGGGCGGGAGACAGTCAAAGCATACATTATACACACCCCTCCCCTTACTACATGCACATGCACTCTCAATCCCAGTGAGATCGCAGGCTGTGCCATTCGTGTGTACGTGCACGAATGGTACCTGGTGACGGGAGCGTGTTTTGAGTCGACTCAAAACACGAATGGTACCTGGTGAAGGGATGGGAGGGTGGGAAGTGGGGGTTCTGAGGGGGGATGGTTAAGGAAGTAAAGGTCGCAGCACATCATACTGCTCCTCCCACACGCTCACCTCTTCCCTCCATCGCCACCACCAGCAGCAGCGGTTGCCACTAGCCTCCTCTGAGCGCGTAGTGACTCCCTCGCGCTGTAGCGCCCCAGCACAAAGTCCATCGTCACCTGCCAACACACAGTCGCAGCGAAGCATGCAGGTGCATTTGGAGGCGACTCAAAATACTCTCTCAAGGATGAGCATGATCAGGAGAGACCATGACCATGGACCTGCATGCTTTGCTGTCTCTCAAGCACAGTATTTCCACAACGCAAAGTCCATTGGCGCCTGCCATGGCATGGCATGGCAGCAGGCGCGACAGAGGCAGCACGTGAGGACATAGAAGCATGCCATACAACTTCCGAGTTCTCTCAAGACTGGGTTGAGCGTCCTCTGTGCTCGCAGTGACTGTCGGGCACTATACCGCCCCAACACAACGTCCATCGTCAGGGGAGATGGCAGCAGGGGGCCATGCCATGTGAATGTGACGAGCAAGCGATGGCAAGGAGGCATGAAAGGATGCAATACGACAGGCAGTGATGAGCATGCGATGGCATAAGCATGTACATGCATGCACACACAGAGATACAGACACACACAGAGATACAGACACACACAGAGATACAGACACACACAGAGATACAGACACACACAGACAGACACAGACAGACACAGACAGACACAGACACAAGCATGCGCATGGATGCATGCACGCACACACACACCCACACCCACACCCACACCCACACCCACACCCACACCCACACCCACACACACACCCACACCCACACACACCCACCCCCACACCCACACCCACACCCACACCCACACCCACACCCACACCCACACACACCCACACCCACACCCACACACACCCACCCCCACACCCACACCCACACCCACACCCACACCCACACACAAGAACCCCATCCTGCTGTGTGTGGTTCCTGACAAAAACCCAGGCACTCGCCCACCTTGTTCTCCCCATCCTGCTGTTCAATATGCATCTGGCGAATGTGCTTCTTGTAGCAGAACTCGTATGTCCACCATCCATCTTGCTGCACGGATTGAGGTGGGAGAGGGAAGGCAGGGGAAAGGCAGGGCGGGAGAGGGAAGGCAGGGGGAAGGCAGGGCGGGAGAGGGAAGGCAGGGGGAAGGCAGGGCGGGAGAGGGAAGGCAGGGGGAAGGCAGGGCGGGAGAGGGAAGGCAGGGGGAAGGCAGGGCGGGAGAGGGAAGGCAGGGGGAAGGCAGGGCGGGAGAGGGAAGGCAGGGGGAAGGCAGGGCGGGAGAGGGAAGGCAGGGGGAAGGCAGGGGGAAGGCAGGGCGGGAGAGGGAAGGCAGGGGGAAGGCAGGGCGGGAGAGGGAAGGCAGGGGGAAGGCAGGGCGGGAGAGGGAAGGCAGGGGGAAGGCAGGGCGGGAGAGGGAAGGCAGGGGGAAGGCAGGGCGGGAGAGGGAAGGCATGGGGAAGGCAGGGCGGGAGAGGGAAGGCAGGGGGAAGGCAGGGCGGGAGAGGGAAGGCAGGGGGAAGGCAGGGCGGGAGAGGGAAGGCAGGGGGAAGGCAGGGCGGGAGAGGGAAGGCAGGGGGAAGGCAGGGCGGGAGAGGGAAGGCAGGGGAAGGCAGGGGAAGGCAGGGCGGGAGAGGGAAGGCAGGGGGAAGGCAGGGCGGGAGAGGGAAGGCAGGGGGAAGGCAGGGCGGGAGAGGGAAGGCAGGGGGAAGGCAGGGCGGGAGAGGGAAGGCAGGGGGAAGGCAGGGCGGGAGAGGGAAGGCAGGGGGAAGGCAGGGCGGGAGAGGGAAGGCAGGGGGAAGCAGGGCGGGAGAGGGAAGGCAGGGGGGAAGGCAGGGGGAAGGCAGGGCGGGAGAGGGAAGGCATGGGGAAGGCAGGGCGGGAGAGGGAAGGCAGGGGGAAGGCAGGGCGGGAGAGGGAAGGCAGGGGGAAGGCAGGGCGGGAGAGGGAAGGCAGGGGGAAGGCAGGGCGGGAGAGGGAAGGCAGGGGGAAGGCAGGGCGGGAGAGGGAAGGCAGGGGGAAGGCAGGGCGGGAGAGGGAAGGCATGGGGAAGGCAGGGCGGGAGAGGGAAGGCAGGGGGGAGGCAGGGCGGGAGAGGGAAGGCAGGGGGAAGGCAGGGCGGGAGAGGGAAGGCAGGGGGAAGGCAGGGCGGGAGAGGGAAGGCAGGGGGAAGGCAGGGCGGGAGAGGGAAGGCAGGGGGAAGGCAGGGCGGGAGAGGGAAGGCAGGGGGAAGGCAGGGCGGGAGAGGGAAGGCAGGGGGAAGGCAGGGCGGGAGAGGGAAGGCAGGGGGAAGGCAGGGCGGGAGAGGGAAGGCAGGGGGAAGGCAGGGCGGGAGAGGGAAGGCAGGGGGAAGGCAGGGCGGGAGAGGGAAGGCATGGGGAAGGCAGGGCGGGAGAGGGAAGGCAGGGGGGAGGCAGGGCGGGAGAGGGAAGGCAGGGGGAAGGCAGGGCGGGAGAGGGAAGGCAGGGGGAAGGCAGGGCGGGAGAGGGAAGGCAGGGGGAAGGCAGGGCGGGAGAGGGAAGGCAGGGGGAAGGCAGGGCGGGAGAGGGAAGGCAGGGGGAAGGCAGGGCGGGAGAGGGAAGGCAGGGGGAAGGCAGGGCGGGAGAGGGAAGGCAGGGGGAAGGCAGGGCGGGAGAGGGAAGGCAGGGGGAAGGCAGGGCGGGAGAGGGAAGGCATGGGGAAGGCAGGGCGGGAGAGGGAAGGCAGGGGGAAGGCAGGGCGGGAGAGGGAAGGCAGGGGGAAGGTAGGGCGGGAGAGGGAAGGCAGGGGGAAGGCAGGGCGGGAGAGGGAAGGCAGGGGGAAGGCAAGGGGAAGGCAGGGCGGGAGAGGGAAGGCAGGGGGAAGGCAGGGCGGGAGAGGGAAGGCAGGGGGAAGGCAGGGCGGGAGAGGGAAGGCAGGGGGAAGGCAGGGCGGGAGAGGGAAGGCAGGGGGAAGGCAGGGCGGGAGAGGGAAGGCAGGGGGAAGGCAGGGCGGGAGAGGGAAGGCAGGGGGAAGGCAGGGCGGGAGAGGGAAGGCAGGGGGAAGGCAGGGCGGGAGAGGGAAGGCAGGGGGAAGGCAGGGCGGGAGAGGGAAGGCAGGGGGAAGGCAGGGCGGGAGAGGGAAGGCAGGGGGAAGGCAGGGCGGGAGAGGGAAGGCAGGGGGAAGGCAGGGCGGGAGAGGGAAGGCAGGGGAAGGCAGGGCGGGAGAGGGAAGGCAGGGGAAGGCAGGGCGGGAGAGGGAAGGCAGGGGGAAGGCAGGGCGGGAGAGGGAAGGCAGGGGAAGGCAGGGGGAAGGCAGGGCGGGAGAGGGAAGGCAGGGGGAAGGCAGGGCGGAGAGGGAAGGCAGGGGGAAGGCAGGGCGGGAGAGGGAAGGCAGGGGGAAGGCAGGGCGGGAGAGGGAAGGCAGGGGGAAGGCAGGGCGGGAGAGGGAAGGCAGGGGGGAGGCAGGGCGGGAGAGGGAAGGCATGGGGAAGGCAGGGCGGGAGAGGGAAGGCAGGGGGGAGGCAGGGCGGGAGAGGGAAGGCAGGGGGAAGGCAGGGCGGGAGAGGGAAGGCAGGGGGAAGGCAGGGCGGGAGAGGGAAGGCAGGGGGAAGGCAGGGCGGGAGAGGAAGGCATGGGGAAGGCAGGGCGGGAGAGGGAAGGCAGGGGGAAGGCAGGGCGGGAGAGGGAAGGCAGGGGGAAGGCAGGGCGGGAGAGGGAAGGCAGGGGGAAGGCAGGGCGGGAGAGGGAAGGCAGGGGGAAGGCAGGGCGGGAGAGGGAAGGCAGGGGGAAGGCAGGGCGGGAGAGGGAAGGCAGGGGGAAGGCAGGGCGGGAGAGGGAAGGCAGGGGGAAGGCAGGGGGAAGGCAGGGCGGGAGAGGGAAGGCAGGGGAAGGCAGGGCGGGAGAGGGAAGGCAGGGGGAAGGCAGGGGAAGGCAGGGCGGGAGAGGGAAGGCAGGGGAAGGCAGGGCGGGAGAGGGAAGGCAGGGGGAAGGCAGGGCGGGAGAGGGAAGGCTGGGGGAAGGCAGGGCGGGAGAGGGAAGGCAGGGGGAAGGCAGGGCGGGAGAGGGAAGGCATGGGGAAGGCAGGGCGGGAGAGGGAAGGCAGGGGGAAGGCAGGGCGGGAGAGGGAAGGCAGGGGGAAGGCAGGGCGGGAGAGGGAAGGCAGGGGGAAGGCAGGGCGGGAGAGGGAAGGCATGGGGAAGGCAGGGCGGGAGAGGGAAGGCAGGGGGAAGGCAGGGCGGGAGAGGGAAGGCAGGGGGAAGGCAGGGCGGGAGAGGGAAGGCAGGGGGAAGGCAGGGCGGGAGAGGGAAGGCAGGGGGAAGGCAGGGCGGGAGAGGGAAGGCAGGGGGAAGGCAGGGGGAAGGCAGGGCGGGAGAGGGAAGGCAGGGGGAAGGCAGGGGGAAGGCAGGGCGGGAGAGGGAAGGCAGGGGGAAGGCAGGGCGGGAGAGGGAAGGCATGGGGAAGGCAGGGCGGGAGAGGGAAGGCAGGGGGGAGGCAGGGCGGGAGAGGGAAGGCAGGGGGAAGGCAGGGCGGGAGAGGGAAGGCAGGGGGAAGGCAGGGGGAAGGCAGGGCGGGAGAGGGAAGGCAGGGGGAAGGCAGGGCGGGAGAGGGAAGGCAGGGGGAAGGCAGGGCGGGAGAGGGAAGGCAGGGGGAAGGCAGGGCGGGAGAGGAAGGCAGGGGGAAGGCAGGGGGAGAGGGAAGCAGGGGGAAGGCAGGGGGAAGGCAGGGCGGGAGAGGGAAGGCAGGGGGAAGGCAGGGCGGGAGAGGGAAGGCAGGGGGAAGGCAGGGCGGGAGAGGGAAGGCAGGGGGAAGGCAGGGGGAAGGCAGGGCGGGAGAGGGAAAGCAGGGGGAAGGCAGGGCGGGAGAGGGAAAGCAGGGGGAAGGCAGGGGGAAAGCAGGGGGAAAGCAGGGGGAAAGCAGGGGGAAAGCAGGGGGAAAGCAGGGGGAAAGCAGGGGGGAAGCAGGGGGAAAGCAGGGGGAAAGCAGGGGGAAAGCAGGGGAAAGCAGGGGGAAAGCAGGGGGAAAGCAGGGGGAAAGCAGGGGGAAAGCAGGGATATGTGATGCGCCTCAAGAGCTGCTTGACGTGCATCTGGCGAATGTGCTTCTTGTAACAGAACTCATATGTCCACCACCCATCTTGCTGCACGGGATTGGTGGGCGGGGTAAAGGGAGAGGGCAGGGGTTGAGAACAGAGCGAGGGGGGGAGTCAACGGGGGATGTGGGGGGAGAGGACGGTAGGGGAGCGCTGATGATTATGCATCATAAGGTTGGCAGTGCCTGTGTAGAGAGGGTGTTTTTGAGACGTCTCAAAAACACCCTCTCTACACCTGATGATTACGCATCATAAGGTTGGCGGTGCCTGTGGCTTCTGTCATCTCTGGTCAAACCATAACAACCTCTCCCTTATAAGCACCCACCACTCTAGCAACTGACTGACACGCACCCGGTAGAAGCACAGCATCCCCTTCATCGCATCTAGCAGGTCCTCTGGACTCTTCCGGCTCTCCCCAAAGGCCACTCCTGGTGTGCTGCGAGTCGAAGAGAAACCAGTACCCTAACAGGGTTTCCTGGTAAACCCACCCGGTAGAAGCACAGCAGCCCCTTCATCGCATCTAACAGGTCCTCCCAACTATTCCGGCTCTTCCCACACGCCATTCCTCATGCGTTGTGAGCCGACTCAAACACAGTTTCCATGCACCCCATGCAGACTGACCTGAACAAGCACAGCAGCCCAGTTCTTAAGCCGAATTTACCCGGTAGAAACATGGAAGTCCCTTCATCGCATCTAGCAGGTCTTCCAGACTCTTCCGGCTCTCCCCAAACGCCACTGCTCGTGTGTTTTGCATCAAAGGAAAACCAGTGCTAGAACAGGCTCTCCTCGTTAATGAACCCGTTAGAAGCATGGCAGCCCCTTCATCGCATCCAGCAGGTCCTCTGGGCTCTTCTAGCTCTCACCAAGCGCCACTCCTGGTGTGCTGGTGACGACCTGTGAGTCGACTCAAAACACAGCTCGTACGCACCTGGTACAATCACAGCAGCCCCTTCTCATAGCATAGCAGGGGTTGGTTAGGCTGACTTTACCTGGTAGAAGCATGGCAGCCCCTTCATCGCATCCAGCAGGTCCTCTGGGCTCTTCCGGCTCTCCCCAAGCGCCACTCCTGGTGTGCTGGTGACGACCTGTGAGTCGACTCAAAACACGGTTCACATGTACCCCCTACAAACTGACCCGGTAGAAGCATGGCAGCCCCTTCATCGCATCCAGCAGGTCCTCTGGGCTCTTCCGGCTCTCCCCAAACGCCACTCCTGGTGTGCTGGTGACTTGAGAGTCGACTCAAAACACGGTTCACATGTACCCCCTACAAACTGACCCGGTAGAAGCACGGCAGCCCCTTCATCGCATCCAGCAGGTCCTCTGGGCTCTTCCAGCTCTCCCCAAACGCCACACCTGTGGATCGTTGAGTCGACTCAAAGCAAAGTATACTCTACACTCACCCTGTAGAATCACGGCAGCCCCTTCATCGCATCTAGCAGGTCCTCCGGTCCGGACTCTTCTGGTTCTCACCAAACGCAACTCCTGGTGTGCTGTGAGTCGACTCAAAACACAGTGTACATGTACCCCCTACAAACTGACCCTATAGAAGCATGGCAGCCCCTTCATAGCATCTAGCAGGTCCTCTGGACTCTTCCGGCTCTCCCCAAACGCCACTCCTGCTGCCCCGCCCTTCCCCCCCGACCCCTCCGCGCCAGCAGCAGGCGAGGGTGGGGAGGAGAGCGCAGGCGGTGGGAGGATGCAGCGATAGCGTGTGCCGTCACTGGCAGTCATCTCTACTGACTCGACACCCGGCTCCTGATGGGTCATGTGACAAGGCAAGGGAGGATGGAACGGGAAAAAATGTTTTGAGGCGCGTGATAAACAGAGCATGGAAGGCAGGCGGATGCAGCGGTACCGTGTGCCGTTGATTTTAGACCCGGCTCCTGATGGAGCAAGGCAAGGGAGGTTGGATGGAGTGGATGAAATGGGGAAAGCGTAATTACAGCCCCTCCCCCAGCAGCAGCAGGCGAGGGCGGGGAGGAGAGCGTGGGCGGTGGGAGGATGCAGCGGTAGCGCGTGCCGTCACTCGCAGTCATCTCTACTGACTCGAGACCCGGCTCCTGATGGGTCGTGTGATGGGTCAAGGGGGGATGGAATGGGGAGACAAGTCTTGAGGCGCCTCAAGAACAGAAGGTGGAAGGCAGCGGGGAGGATGCAGCGGTAGCGTGTGCCGACACCGGCGGTCTTCTCTACTGACTCTAGACCCAGCTCCTGATGGGTCATGTGATGGGGCATGTGATGGGTCATGTGATGGGGCATGTGATGGGTCATGTGATGGGTCATGTGATGGGTCATGTGATGGGTCATGTGATGGGGCATGTGATGGGTCAAGGGAGGGATGGAATGGGGAGGAAAGTCTAGACCCGGCTCCTGATGGGTCATGTGATGAGGCAACGGAGGGTGGCACGTGAAGAGTATGTTTGATTCGTCTTAAGCAGAGAAGTTGGAAGTGGGAGGGGAGAAGATGCAGCGGTAGCGTAGCGTGTGCCGTCAGTGGCGGTCATCTCAACCGACTCCACACGGCTCCTGATGGGGCAACGGAGGATAGAATGGTGAGGGGGCAGTGGTGCACGGGGAGGATGCGGCCCTGGTATGTGCCGTCACTAGCAGTCATATCAACCAGCTCTAGTCTCGACCAAGCTCCTGGTGGATCAAGGGTGGATGGAACGGGGAGACTAGTTTTGAGGTGCCTCGAGAAGAGGATGCAAAGGCAGTGCATCCCCTCCCACCCCACCCCCATCCCATCCCATCCCACCCCACCCCATCCCCTCCCATCCCATCCCACCCCACCCCACCCCATCCCACCCGACCCCAATCCCATCCCACCCCACCCCCCATCCCATCCCATCCCATCCCATCCCACCCCACCCCACCCCACCCTATCCCATCCCATTTCACCCATAATGTGCTTCTTCACCACCTCCCCCACGCCATCCTCAGTGAACCCTCACTCACGTCAACTGGCAGGGCGGCAGGCGTGGGTAGTGAGGTGGCGTGTGAGGTGGAGGGAGTGGAGGACGGAGAGGAGGAGGGAGAGGAGGGGGGAGGCCAGAAAACGACGGAGAGTTTGGGCTGCTTGCTGTCAGCAGGGAAGGTCATTTGGCCTGCAGTGAGGCGAAGGGGGGGCGCGCAGAGCAGGCAGGGGCAGGGAGTGGGAGGGAGAGGAGGCGACTTTTGAGTCGACTCGAAAGCCAATCTGCTTGCTGTCTGCTGGGAAGGTCATCTGGCCTCAGTGACGCGACGGGAGCGGGCAGGCAGGGGCAGCGGAGCGGGGTCCGCCAATGATCTCAAGTCGACGAGGAGGTTGAAGAGGGGAGTGCTCGCGCGGAAGGGCATGGAAGGGAAGGACGAGAGGGAGAAAAGGCTCAACGAGGGCATGTGAATCCACGCAGCACCGACGAGAGTGCCGCGAGCGAGTGTGAGCGATCGTACCGACGAAGGGGGAAGGGGCGGAAACGCTTCAATGATGGGCTCTGAATTCACACGGCAGCGCGGTGACTTGGACTCAAAAGTCACCTCTGGACGAGCGAGCGCACCGAAGCGCGAGCGAGCGAACAAGCGCGAACGAGCGAGCGAGGGAGCGTACCGACGCGCGAGCCGAAGATGAGGTCCGCGATGACGCCGTGGGACGGTAACACGGCCATTGCGATCACGATGGTAACCAGCGCCGCGAAATCCCTGCGTTTCGCCATCTCGATCTCAACCCGAGGTCTAGTCTGGAAGTTCTAGATAATCAGAAGTGACAGAAAGCATGAGACTGAATGCCAGTGCTCGAACTGAGGGCCGAAGTTGTAACATCCACGGCCCTTATAACAACGGGCAACCGTGTGTTAAATATAGATCCTCCTTAACAATTTATTTAAAATCAAGATACAAGGGCTTTCAAGATTAAACTAGTCCCAACAAGGGATATTCTGGCCTTAATAGTGACTTGAAGAGTTGATGATGTCAAACATATGTCTATATATGTTATAGTTTGGGTAGGCTTAGTGGGGTACTTACTGTGGGGTACAACCCCTTGGGTTTTCACTTTGTACCAACCCTCTCGATAGTCGAAACCACTTTTCCCGTAAGATTCTAACATGGTATAGAGCATAGGTCCTTAGGACCTAGGATTAGGGCCCACCACGATTGCCTGTCTTGTCTAGTGCCTACGCGCGCCTCGGCTGCCCGCGCGCGCCTCGGGCGGTCCTTTTTTTTTTCCCACGTGCGCCGTCTCAGCAGCCCGCGTAGCCCGTTTCGGCCCCGCCTGTGCGCCCCTTAAGCCGCCCGCGCGAAACCTGATTAGGCCACGCCAGCGCGGCCCGTCGCCCAGCGTAGCCCGTAGCTTAGCGACCAGCCCGCAGCCACGCACGTGCGGCCCGTCGCCCAGCGCAGCCCGCAGCCGCACGTAGATTGCAGCCACGCACGCTGCCTGTAGCCACGCACAGCCCGCAGCTGCAAGCAGCCCGCAGCCCGCGCAGTCCGTCGCCGCACGTAGCCTGCGGCCGCGCGCGCTGCCCGTAGCCACGCGCAGCCTGCAGCCTCGTGCAGCAAGCCGCCGCACGGAGCTAGCAGCCTCACGCAGCCCTCAGGCCGCTCCTGCCTGCTGCTTGCTGCCGCCTGCCTGCTGCTTGCTGCCTGCTGCCTGCCTGCTGCTTGCTGCCTGCTGCCGCCTGCCTGCTTACTGCCTGCTGCCGCCTGCCTGCAGCCTGCCTGCTGCCTGCCTGCTGCCGCCTACCTGCTTGCTGCCTGCAGCCTGCCTGCCTGCCTGCTTGCTGCCTGCTGCCGCCTGCCTGCAGCCTGCCTGCTGCCTGCCTGCTGCCTGCCTGCTACTTGCTGCCTACTGCCGCCTGCCTGCTTGCTGCCTGCTGCCGCCTGCCTGCTTGCTGCCTGCAGCCTGCCTGCCTGCCTGCTTGCTGCCTGCTGCAGCCTGCCTGCAGCCTGCCTGCTGCCTGCCTGCTACTTGCTGCCTGCCTGCTGCCTGCCATCTGCCTGCCTGCTACTTGCTGCCTGCTGCCGCCTGCCTGCTTGCTGCCTGCTGCCGCCTGCCTGCCGCCTGCCTGCCTGCCTGCTTGCTGCCTGCTGCCGCCTGCCTACAGCTTGCCTGCTGTCTGCCTGTCGTTGCTGACCCTGCGTCTGACCGGTTTCGTTCTGAGCACTCTACTGTCACGCGTCTGCTTGCCACTGTTGTCACTGACCCATCATTTGAGTCTGCTGCTGCGTCTGCCTTAGTCACTGAGCTTGTTGCCTTTGCTGCTCACTGTCGTCTAGACTACGCCGCCAGTCTTGTTGCTGAGTCTGCGTCTGTCTGTCCTCCGTCCGTCGGGGGTGAGTGTGCTCTTGGCACGGACGTCCTTGAGGACAGACAGGAGGACCTTGAGTGTCTTGCAGCCGCTGCGCCTCATCTCGTATCCATGCTGCTTGCCCCTGAGGGAGACCCGGATGCACCAGACATCCCTACCCCGCGCTCTTACGCTGAGGCGATCGCGGGTGAGTACTCCTCTCAGTGGCAGACAGCCATGGACGCAGAGATGGCATCCTGGAAGTCCACAGGCACCTACGTCGACGAGGTTCCCCCTCCTGGGGCGAACATTGTCAGTGGCATGTGGATTTTCAGGGTGAAGCGGCCGCCAGGTTCTCCGCCTGTCTTCAAGGCTCGTTACGTGGCTCGAGGCTTCAGTCAGCGAGAGGGAGTTGACTTCTTCCAGACCTTCTCCCCCACCCCGAAGATGACCACTCTTCGGGTGCTGCTGCACGTTGCCGCTCAGCGTGACTACGAGCTTCACTCTCTTGACTTCAGCACAGCCTTCTTACAGGGCAGCCTGCACGAGGAGATTTGGCTGTGCCGCCCTCCTGGCTTCACTGGGTCGTTCCCTCCTGGTACCCAGTGGAGCCTCCGGCGGCCGGTCTACGGTCTCCGCCAGGCGCCACGTGAGTGGCACGACACACTGAGGACGACTCTTGCTGCTCTTGGGTTTGCTCCGTCGACTGCTGACCCGTCGCTGTTTTTGCGCACCGACACTTCTCTGCCGCCGTTCTACGTTCTCGTGTACGTCGATGACTTGGTCTTTGCCACTGCTGACAGTGAGGCTCTCGCCCTGGTGAAGTCGGAGCTGCAGAAGAGACACACGTGCACAGACCTGGGTGAACTGCGCAGCTACCTTGGCTTGCAGATCACCCGGGACAGAGCACGCCACACCATCACACTGACTCAGTCACACATGGTGCAGCAGGTCCTTCAGCGCTTCGGTTTCACCTGGTCCTCAGCACAGGCCACTCCTCTGGCTACAGGTCACTCGCTCTCAGCTCCACCTTCGGACGAGTCCGTAGAGCCGAGTGGTCCTTACCCAGAGTTAGTGGGCTGCCTCATGTACCTGATGACCTGCACTCGTCCTGACCTTGCGTACCCTCTTGGCCTTCTGGCTCGCTACGTGGCTCCTGGTCGGCACCGAAAGGTGCACATGGATGCTGCCAAGAGGGTACTACGCTACTTGTGCAGTACATCGGGCATGGGGCTCGTGCTTGGAGGACGGGGTGACGTTGTCCTCACAGGTCACTCGGACGCCTCTTGGGTTGACGACCAGGCTACGCAGCGGTCGTCACAGGGTTACACCTTCAGCCTTGGTTCTGGTTCAGTTTCCTGGCGTTCTACACGTTCGTCTTCAGTTCTCGGCTCCAGCTGTGAGGCAGAGATCTACGCCACAGCCATGGCTGCACAGGAGCTGCGCTGGCTCACCTACCTGCTGACCGACTTGGGAGAGAGGCCTCATTCTCCTCCATTCTGTACGTTGACAACAAGTCCGCCATTGCCTTGTGTCAGGAGCACAGACTGGAGCACAGAACAAAGCACATCGCTCTCCGTTACTTTCTTGGTCGAGAGCTGCAGCAGCGTGGCCAGCTTCGTCTTACCTACGTGGCCACTCGGGCCAACACTGCTGATATATTCACCAAGGCGCTTCCGCCTGGTGATCATCAGCGTTTCTGCACTTTGTTAGGCCTTGTGCCCACTCTTCCTCACTTGCTGTAGGCTTTGTTTGTACCATGATTTATATGTATTCCTGCATGCTTGTTCTTGTAGGTAGATATCACTGTACTGTTGTTGTTACATATATATTTCTGCATGTGAACTGGCCTTGTGGCCTTCTTGCTTGTGCTCAGACTGCGTGGTGACGTTGTGATCCACCCTGAGCTTGCTTTGCACTTCCTGACTGGTCTTGTGACCCTCTGTTTTCCCCCACTTTGCCTATGGGGGTGTGTCAAACATATGTATATATATGTTATAGTTTGGGTAGGCTTAGTGGGGTACTTACTGTGGGGTACAACCCCTTGGGTTTTCACTTTGTACCAACCCTCTCGATAGTCGAAACCACTTTTCCCGTAAGATTCTAATAGATGAAGCTTTAGTAGGTAGGTAGCTTGCTTCTGGTAGAGCTTATCCTTGAGATAACAGAAGTCTAGTTGTGTAGGAGAGCTTATTAGGAGAACCAAAGACTTAGAGTGAAAATCCCATTTCCAAGTTAGATTGTTGGAGTTGGGAAGTGGGAATGAGCTTGAGAGCTCCAACCCCTTCCATCATACCCCTTGGGGCTCTTCCCAACCATGGCTTCCATGGTTGGGGAGCTAATAGGCTTGGAGCCTATGTGGCACTTTAGTTTGGTTGGGGAAAACCCAACTTGACACAATTGTATGGTTGTTTTAAACTTTGTGTGGATTGTAACAACAACTGTCAACTTCCCATTGGTTGGAAATCCAACCTTGCACATTCATTTGGTTGGGTTGGAAAAACTTCCCAATCTTCACTTTTGTTGGGTTGGAAAGTCCCAAGCCTCAAAGTTGAGGTTTGGAATACCAAGCCAACCTTTCTCTCCCAACTCAACCTTCAACTCCCGTAGTCCGATTTCTGTCGAGACATTTCTCGACCTAGACTAGGAAGAAGTTAGGTGGTGCGTTACACTCCTCCCCCCCTAGGTGGCAACGTCCCCGTTGCCTTAGGGTGCTTCTTAGGACGAGCGCTACGAGCACGCCGTGTCACATTACGACCAGGGTCAACACCATCCACCGGTTGTGCGGCAGCTCGTCGGGCCAGATCTGTCATGTATGACTGAACTTCAGTTTCA